AATCAGTCCTATTTTTAACTTTTTGAGGAAACTCCATACTGTTTTCCATATTGTCTGCATCAGTCTGCATTCCCACCAGTAGTCAATTAGGGTTCCTTTTTTTCCACATCTTCACCAGCACTTGTTGTTTTATTTGTTGATGATAGCCATTCTGACAGCTGTGAGACGGTACCTCATTGTTGTTTGGATTTGCATCTCTGATGATTAGTGACTTTGAGCAGGTTTTCATATGCCTCTTGGCCTTCTGTATATCCTGTTTTGAAAAGTGTCTACTAGTATTTAGGTCTTTTGCTCATTTTTTTATTGGATTATTTATCCTTTTGTTAAGTTGTATGAGTTCCCTGTAAATTTTGGAGATTAAACCCTTATCAGAGATAGCATTGGCAAATATGTTCTCCCATGCAGTGGGCTTTCTTGTTGTTTTGTTGATGGTTTCTTTTGCTGTACAGAAGTTTTTTTATTTTGATGCAGTCCCATTTGTTTATTTTCTCCATGGCTTCCATTGCCCTAGGAGCTGTATCAGCAATGATATTGCTCTGACATATGTCTGATATTTTGTTGCCTATGGAGTCTTCTAAGAGTTTTATGGTTTCCCATCTTACATTGAAGCCCTTTATCTATTTTAAGTTTATTTTTGTGTATGGTGTAAGTTGGTGATCTAGTTTGATTTTTTCGCATGTATCTGACCAATTTTCCCAGAACCATTTATTGAAGAGACTTTCTTGACTCCATTGTATGCTCTTGCTTCCTTTGTCAAATATTAATTTAGCATAAATGGGTTGGGTCGATTTGTGGGTTCTCTGTTCTGTTCCATTGGTCTATATTGCTGGGGTCCAACCCCAGCAGGTCCAGGGGTCCCCAGAGGTGTGGACGGAGTCGGCGAAGAAGGAATGGCACGGAGACAGAGTTCAGTTGATCAGCAGCCTAGCCAGGATCTCCAGCCAAGTTCTGGTCTGGATCTCCAGAGAAGCTCTGCCGTTTATTGTCTTGTTACATCCGTATTTATACCAGTTGATTTTAATCCTGTCAATTTCTATTACAAAGGTTAGGGCGTTTCTTATCTCCATTCCAGGGAGTAAAGATAA